CATCTGACCCAAAACTCATACAGTTTTCCCAATTACTGTGCTGCCTGCGCACGGCTTTGTAGTGCCAACAAGCCGCAGCACATTCCTAACCCCCAATCACCAGACAACACAAAATGTTTAGTATCTTTCTCTTCTTTTTATTCTAAAAAAAGTTGACAATAATAACCTGCAAATTGCAGAGAGTGGTGTGGATTTTCATCTACCCACCCCATCAAACATCATTCGGCGTTCCTCACACATCGTCCTCTCCCCTTCCCTTCAAATCCTAGATGAAAACCCCTGGGGTGATGCAGGAGGCCCCCCAGAAAAAAGAATCTCCACCCAGGTTCCCTCAGCAGGTGAGAGCATTCCTGAAATAGACTAGGGAGAGGAGGCTAGGCGCTGGGTCTGCTCAGCTCTGTCTCGCAGATCCAGTGGAAGGGAATCATGCAAAGGTAATTCTTCCTTTGGTCATCGGTCCCGAAGTGGGCACAGTCCTCTTGCCCATGGTAGTACCAATTGTCTGGCTGCGTTGGACTCCAGTTCCTAATGAGAGCAGATAGATGTGGGTCCTGGAAGCCAGACCCTCAGCCAAGCCAAGGAGTCCCTCTTGCCTCAAAAACACCCAGCAGGGATAGCAGGATCCAGGCCAAAGGAACCGAGTACAGAGCACACACACTCACTGGAAGCCGGAATTATAGTATTTCCCATTCACCCATGTCCAGGGACCATGTTGTTCAGTAAGGCCAATCCAGATGTCCATACGGTACATGTGTTGCTCAAGAAACTTCTGGGGAGAGACGATGAGGGGAGTGACTTCAAGTAGACCAACGAGCTTACCAAACAAGCACTCCCAGTCCTCACCTGCTCGTTCCAGGAGCTCAAAACCACCAGGTGGGAGTTCTTCAGCTGGCAGTGCTTCTCAGCCTCAGGCCAGGTCAATGGAGAGCGAGAAAACCAGTAGCAGCTGCCTTCATACTCCAGCCAGCCAATGGGGCAGCAGGTGTTTTGAGAGCCTGAGGTGGGAGTGGGGAGGTTCTGAGATGCTGCCCAGTGGGACATGGGCAGGATATGGAGCTAGGGCGCTGCCCTCCACACCGCTCACCATTGTTCTTGAGCACAGCCATCTGACAATGCAGGGAGGTCAGGTCGTTGAGCAGTTGCTGGACTTGCAGGAGCATTTCAGAATAATCTGGGACACACAGAAGGGCAGTGGGGACAATGCAGGGGCCCAGCTGAGGGCCCTCTATACCCTCCTACCACATCAGGCCCAGGGGAGGGGAGAAGGGGCCTGACCTGCTTTGAGTTCCTGCTGCTCTTTCTCCAGCTCGCTCTCCAGAGAAAACACCTTCTCATTCAGGCTACGGGCTGCAGGGGAGGGCACTCAGCACCCCAGGCTGCGCCCACCCCACCTCTGTCCTGAGAGCCCGGCCCCCACCCTCCCACACTCACTCCTGCAGGCCTCTCTTTTTTTTTCAGTGGGTCCTCACAGCCACCCCACTTTAAGGGACAGGCACTGTTGTTATCCAAGCTTGCAGAGAGGAAACTCAGGCTTCCAGAGGTTAGGCACTTGGACTACATTACCCATGAGTAAGCAACAGAGCCAGCAGCTGTCTTTACCCACCATGAGCATCATCAGTGCCTGGGTTCCTGTACCCCACTGGCGCCCCCTTCCCTGCCCATCCTGGGACACTCACTTTTGGATCCAATCACGCAGATACCAATCATCAGGAGAAGGATGAGGCCCAGAGAGAGCAGAAGGGGCCAGGGGCCAGAGCAGAGATGCTGCAGGAAGGCTGGGGGAGGAGGCAGCCCTGCAAGAGGAGAGGACATCAGGACATGGCGGTTGAGGACAAGGGAGACACAGGGGAGGAGCAGAGGGCCACAGGGACCTGTCAGGGATGAAGAGTGGTGCAGGTACAGCTGGGGAGAGGTTGTGGTGCAGGGGATGCCCAGGCATCTCACCCCTCATGGACCAGCACAAGTTCTCAGTCACACAGACCCCCTCTCCCCCGGAAACACATGATGACAATATGTAAGGTCTTATCATCAGGGCTGGGACAGGGGCAGGAGGACACAGAGTGAGCCGGGCAGCCAGGCCCTCAGCAGGCTCGTGCTTATCTGTATTGTCAGGTTCGCCACCGTTTTTCTTCCAAACATGACTGTTCACTCTCCCAGTGGAAATGCTCATGACCTTCCCCAGAGTATAGCAGCCAGGACCGCTTTGGTCCACCCTGATCCTGTCCTTCTCAAATCCTCTTCATATTGCAACCACCAGGAGCTAGAGCCTAATACCCGCAGTGTGGGGGACCCCAGCAGTGCACATGGTAGAGGTGCAGATATACTGTGAGAGCAGAGATCCTTTTAAACATATTAAGAGACTATTTTAGGAGACACCATTTCTCCTTTCCTCTTACCCTTTCTAGAACCCTGGCTTTTCTTCTCACTCTCCAAGGACTGGAGGTCTTCATACTTCATTGACATCCTTGGACCAACTCTGAAATGGAGGCAGGGCCAGTGACCAGGCTGGGGCTGGAGAGAGGAGACAGGGAAGGCTGGGACTAGGTTGGAGCTGAAGTCAGGATTTGAGTTGAGGTAAGAGAAGAAGTTCAGGTTGAGTATGAGCCAGGGGTTAGGGATACGAATGGGAATGGGCCTGGGTATGCAGCAGAGGTTGGAAATAAAGTCAGGATTGGTTTTTGGGCTGGGGTTGGGTTGAATGTGAGATTGAAGGTAAAGGTAGAGTTGGAGTTAAAGGTATTACTAGGACTGGGTCTTACACTGGGGATGCAAGTAAGGTTGTGTCTCCTCCTAGGACTGGGGTCAATACTGGTGTTGATGCCATGAATGGAGTGGGGCTTAAATTTGGTGTTGATGTTGGTATTTGAAGAGAGTTGCGTTGGTGCTGGTGTTTGTAATGGGGTTAGGGTTGCATTTAGGCTGGAGGCTGAAGATGAGGCTGGAACTGTGCTAGAGATGGGGCAACCCAAACCCAGTAAAGTGAATAGAGTCTGAAATCTCCACCAGCTCATTGAATCTCCAAGCTGCCCTTTTATATCTCTTCCTATTCAGTCCCAGTTGAGACCCACAGCCCCTCTCCCTGCTTTCTCTAACTCCCTCCCTGTCCCCTTAGTCTCACCTGCATCCCCAGCCCAGTTACCTGTGCAAAGTCTGGAGGCTGTGATTCTTGGGTTTGCCTTGCAGCAATGAGCAGAGTTGGATAAAATGAAATCCTGGAGAGTGGGGTAGAGGTGAGCGAGGGAGGAGTCAGGTCAGTGGCTGGGTCCTGCTGGTCTTTGTGTCTAAAAGCCCAGGATTCTGTAACCTGGGATCTCCCTTTTCCTCAACTTTGGCAATAAATGATCATTGGAACCCAGGCAGAGATTGTGCAAGTGAAGAAGCTATATATAGGGCCAGCTTTGCTCCCTGCTTCACCACCACCGACCCGCCCCCCATCTGCCTCCCGGGTGTGTCCTTTTCAGCTTCTGTTGAGGTCCCTTGACTTCCTCATTGTTGCCATTGTGGAGAGGAACCCTTCCCAGAGGGGTCCATAGGTACAGTCTCTTGCTTCTTCTTTGCCCCACACCCCATTTTACTTCCTGCATCAGCATTTCCCAGAGATGATGCTGTCTCCACCATTGCACACCCAGATCCAGAGGAGCCTTTTCTCAGTCTTCCTCAATCGTAACCCAAGTGTCTGGAATC